CGAGCCCCATGAGTGACAGAGAAAGAGCTGCAGCACAGCAGCGTTGGGAGTGAATTCCCATAGAAATACAGCGTATACATTTTTACTTTGTTTTTTATAATTCCCATCACGTGCGCAAGCTTGCTGATTATTATTACTACTACTGTATTTGATTCCTATATTACACTTGTTTACCCAGAAAAGCCTCACTGAGTCTCAAGACTTTTCCAGGAGGGTCCTGCCAAGTTTCCTTGCCGGGGCCGATGTTTCTGCTGCTGCATTGTCAGCCAAAATGAGTGATTTGTCATTTTTCAGCACTGGGATGTTTGGCCGATACCATTCACACTGTATGGTGTTTTAGCTACGGGAGGAAACCGGAGAACACAGAGAAAATTCGAGCCGAACAAGGGAAGAGCACACAAACTCCACGCAAAAAGGTGCCCGAGTCGGGAATAAATCACGGAACTTCTTGCTGAGAGGCAGGAGTCTTACTGCAGCGCCACCCTGCCACCCTCATGCAGGCCACTTACGATTTCATCTCCACCTTCATTGTAATCCCATTCCTTGAAGGCGTTTAACAGCAAACACATCACAAACCTGTTTAACCTTAACAAAGAGTATTTAAGCGCGCTTTCATGATTGTGACGTACAATGCGTGAGTGCACGATTCAGCGGCTGCTGCAGCCCCACAGAGACGGTGGGGGGCGTTCGTGTCTATGGTGACTGCTGTCGCTGTGGTCGAGACTCGTTATGTAAGAGGCTGCTGTGGACCCAACTCGTTGTCATGGTGCAAGGACCGCAGGGGCAGGAGAGTGTGAAGAGAGCGTGGGGAAAGTGGCCCGGTGCGTAGCGCACTGTGCTGCGAAGACCAGTGGCCCGAGTTCAATCCACGACTACAGCTAACATCAGTGGTGATTGTATGAACCGGTCCTGGGTCTCCCTGAGGTAGGCTCGCCTTTAAATGTGTACCTGGTGCCGTGTGTGTGAACATTTGAGCACTGAGGAGACAGAGGCGGCCTGGCGTGGTACCGGCCTTTATAGGTGCTGCTCACGAACAGCATTTGCCCCAACAGCCTCTATAGGCTATGCGGGGGGGATAAGAATATTAAAACACCAAATTGAAACCTTTTGCAAGGAATCATGTTTGCATTAACCACATACAATTGTGCTATACGTGGTTAATGTCTGCATTAACCACATATACTTGCAAAAAACTTTTCAGTTTGGTGTTTTAACATCTTAACACAACTGTTTTATTGGCAAAAAGGATACACCCTATTCTTATATTATTTTGATACTGGCAAGAGAGATTCCATGATGTGAGGGAGCGGGGGGTGCTGATCTTTGTCCTTGTTTGGAAGGGGGCAAGGTGAGGGAGGATGGAGCACTTCGAGTGAGGGTGAATGCAGGAAGAGGTGAAGGGTGGCTGGGCTCGGAGCTGCAGCTGGAGGTAAGAGACCCGTGGAAGGGCTGTGCTGAGAGGGCAATGTTTGCCGGAAGGTCAGAAGGGTGAAAGAGTGATTCGACGGAATGTGGATTCATAATATCGTTGATGGTTTAAGTGCTGCAGACACAGCAGAATGTGAAATCAAATAAAACAATTATTTTGCCCAACACATATAAACGAATAATTGAATATAATGAATAATAAGTAATAATTGTGTATACAACATGATACGGAGTAAACTTGTCAATCACCTCTGGAAATCCGGCAGCATTTGCTGACCAAGCCTGGCTGCTGATGAGACCCAGAAGGCCAAAACCGGTCGAGAGTTTACTTGAAGCAAATTTTGCTGATTGATAATGTCGGTCTGGAAAGTCAAACGGCTGATGGTGTAAAATAAATTAAATATATTTAATGCGGAGACACAGAATGCAGCTCTTCTGATATTTTCGAATATCAGGCCATGTCGGCCCATTGGTGAATTCTTCAACTGAGCAATGCAAACTTTCGAATGTGAGCTAATTTTGTTCCTGCTTAAGGACTATTGATTTTAGGACCCAGTGGACTATTACAAAACAGGCTGAGATCAACAAATCTTAACAAAATGGTCCATGCATGTGTTCCAGTGCCTTTGATCAATGCTGGAGGCAATGGCAAGCAACACAAAACCTGACAAATCACCAGCTGAGGGTTTGTTGTATCACCCATCTATTACTCTATTAAAATATAATTAAGGGTGTGACACAGAGGCGGATGTAGAGGCTTCCTCACGGGAGGAGGGGAGGGGGGCGTAAAATGTCAAGATTTTGAAATAGGGCCCTACGTTAATAAATAATAATTAACGATTTTATAACGTGCATATTTTTCAAATGTACTTCTGGAATCAAACGCGATGTCCGATTGAGACACTGGGAGGCGCAGAAACTCTCAACGTTTTTCTCTGTTAAATACCAGGAGGATTCCAATTGTCGTGATCTCATTGATGGTACAAAATAACACTGCAGTGTAAATGACATGACTGCTTTGTTAACACTGATAATGAGGTGTAAAGTGATTTAATATCAACTTCATCGTGCTCACAAAGTATGTGTGACTACGATTTCAAAGATATAACACGTCTTTGATTGTGCAGGATATGTCGGGCATACGCATTATTATTATTGTTATTATTCACGACTCTGGTGATTAGTGGCTTGCCGAGTCAGCGTACGCATCAACTCAAATGGAAGGCAAACAATTGGCATCACATCGAGAGCAGTGGCCAATGGATGGAGAGTGCCCCTGGACATGCCTCGATCCACTGCTCGTTTACCGAGGTACACACCACGGCTGACAAAAGAACCCCACTTTCCCACCGCCTTCATGAACACAAATTTAAGGGCAGATTTGGAGGGCGCGTGGCAGTAAGTGAAACGCACGTGCGGACGTTCGTGAAGAGGGCACGCGAGACCTCCCGAGTAACTTATTGGCCCCCCGGGGAAGGAGGTTTCAGATGGCTTCGAGAATCACAGCAGAAATGAGGATCTTCGTGACAGACACGACAGCAGAGGGTCGCTATAAGCGATGCAAAAGACAAAGGAGAAAGTTCCCACCCAGGTGACACGCAGGAGTTACGGATGACAGGGAGGACGTGGTTCTGTCTTGCAATAACATACAACTTCAATGCGTAACGACTGCAACGTACAAGGCTGCACCTCGTGACACTGTACAAAAAGCAATATGTGCGTTGCTGGCTCATGGGGATCGTGCTTTAGGTGAAGGGGGACATTGTGGAGAGCAGGAAGGTGATGTCTGTATTAATCACGGTGTTTGAATAAGTAGAAATGGTCATGCATAGGCAAAGGAGAAGAGGGAGGTCATCACCCTGGATTGAAAAGAGGGATGGAGCCAGCGGCGTGGACGGCTAGGGGGGGACGGTTCTCGACCGAAGCGTCAGCAGCAGAGAAGGAGCGGCTTCAGGGATGCCCACCACAGCACGCTGGCATTGTAGAGGCCCACACTTTTCAGTACCATCGCCTCTTATTTGTCAAGATGTAAGTAACAGCACCCATGATAATACAACTCAGGGATAAGAGGATTAAACCACTTTGTCTGATTGGGAAGCCTAGAGCGCTATATATGTATTCTTTGGCAAAACGTCCAAGGCTCTTATGTCATATCTGTGCTAAAATTATAATTCGAATAGTTATTCGAACGGGTCATGATGACACCCCCCTTAGTCTTATTCACCCAGGTACCTTGGATTCATTCACACGGAGCTGCATGGATCTATATATGGAATGACAGTCCGTGTGTACATTCACATGGAGAACTGAAGCATTCATAACTGACAGAAACAAAACTGAACACATTCGTCATTAAAACTGTGGCATTAGAATAAAAAAAAACGATAAACAGGTGACGTTGTGGGCAACGTCCCTTGATCACAGCACACGCATCAGCATCATTGTGAGCGCGTTTCACAGACCGAGGTTTCACAGACCGAGGTTTCACAGACCGAGGTTTCACAGACCGAGGTTTCACAGACCGAGGTTTCACAAACCGAGGTTTCACAGACCGAGGTTTCACAGACCGAGGTTTCACAGACCGAGGTTTCACAGACCGAGGTTTCACAGACCGAGATTTCACAGACCGAGGTTTCACAGACCGAGTCTAAATCGACACGACGACGACGCGTGTGTTGCCTGCAGCAGGATAACTGCCCGGAATGTCGCCTACTATATACTTATTTTTAAAGCAATGATGTTGACGGACGTGTTGAGATTGTTAATTGTGCTTGTGCACCACTGACAATGCAGCATCACCATATAATAGTTTATGATTAATATGATTAATGACGTTTAACAACAAAAAAATAAAATGTTAATAGTTAAAGTTAATAATAAAAAAAATACTTTTAAAAAGGAAAAAGAACCGACCCCCCTGATTGGTCAGGACGTGAAACTGTGCAGCGCTGGCAGGCGGTGCTGCTGATGCCAGCGCTGATGCCACCGCTGATGCCACCGCTGATGCCAGCGCTGATGCCACCGCTGATGCCAGCGCTGATGCCACCGCTGATGCCAGCGCTGATGCCACCGCTGATGCCAGCGCTGATGCCACCGCTGGTGCCACCGCTGGGCCCCTGAGAATCGCTGCACTCCGCCCCACGCTCTCGTTTACGCACTGCAGAGCGTGCAGCTCGCACGTCCGATTAGAATCAATAAACAATTGTTTGGAATGAGATGGGAAGTTGTCTCAGCAGACCTGGAGACAATCGGAGTGCCTAATCTTTGCCGGGGGGGGGGGGGGGGGGGGAACTGTGTTTTTGTGATTACTCACGAGATCATAATCTAACTTTAGCCCTCACAACATGAAGTGTTTGCTCAATTAGTGTGAGTACTACTTAGAAACTGTGGTCATCTCGAACCTTTGAAAGTCCACGACCATCTCCCTCCCCAACTCCATCTTATGCTCTAATGAAACGATTAGCCTCTCGAATACATTGCTCAGAAATGTCAAAGCAGACGCAGATCCAAGAGCTTTCCATCGCTGGTGTCAGCAGCAAGCATCACAGAGACAGTGTCTCACATCACCTCACCTTGGCCTTGGCACTCGGGCTGAATGTCTGCTGTCCTGCTGCAGGCAACTCCACTCCTCCTGCGTCCGCTTTTGGAGGAGCTGTAGTGTACAAGACACAAAATCAGACCGGTCGGTTAAGTGCATTTTGATTTCCCTTTCCCGTAAGCCCAGATAGGCCGGCTTTGTCAGAAGGAGGTAGCTCTTTTGAAACTAAACAATGTTTAATTTTACCAGGTAAGGACCATTGAGTTACATAGCTCTTTTTCAGAAGCGACCTGACCACAAATGATAGCCCAATGAAGTGGCTATTCACGTGGACATTTCTAGCAGCCAAATACTCTAAACGCACGTTGAGTCTAAATGAGGAGGGAAAAACTGGAGGACTCGGAGAAAATCCACGTGGCCACAGGCAAAGCATGCAAACTCCAAATATCCAGAGTCGGGATCGAACCAACGACCTCCTGTATACCAGGCGGGGTAGTTAACTTCTCCTGGCCACCGCAGCACACTCATGGCCTGTTTGGACCTTCGTCCAACATCTGCGCCATTGGCCACCTCCCCGCGTCATTATTTCGAGGTTGGATCGGCAACCATGCGTCCCCCGTGCGCTTGGTGAAGATGAGGTTTTACAATGGTCACAAATCCACGTCGAGTGAGGAGCCAAGACGAGATTCCCCTCTACTGCTGCAGAAAAGTGACGGGCCCTCCAAAGAACGCTGCACATGTTGCAACACCCCCAGCAGCGACAGCGGCGACCGCCAATCGCCACGAAGTGGCGGTCGTGTCGCAGTGCTCATGGGCAGACTGGGTTCATCTTGAGGCAAACAAGGCAAATTATGGTTAAAATATTTTACTTGCTAAGTAAGTTTAATACTGTAAGACTCAAGCTTTGTGCCACTTCGCATATGATCATAAAACCTCAAAAGAATTATTCCTTTTTTTTAATAGGATTTCTAAATATATTTTGTACCTTGACACATATCCAAACATTAGATATCCGCCCTGACCAAAGAAGCACGTCATTTCAGCAGCATTGCGTCAACGCAAGCAAACTCCGGACGGACTGGCTTCGACTCGCGGTGTCTCATCAGCAGTCAGAAACAAGAGACAATGCTGCCTCGCGGGTGAGGGAGGATGGCTGGACGGGCATCACCTTTCTGTCGCTTCTTGCTGGTGGCGTGCGGGGAGGCTCGCTGGGGCCTCTCCGTGGCTCGGCTGGCTCTCACGGGGGAGCGAAGCTCGGCGCGCTTGCTCAGGTCTCCCTTCTTACCCACTGGGCGACCGCAGGGCAGCCGAGCACGCAAGGAGGGTGTGCGAAAGGTCGGTGGGGGGTGGGGAGAGTCGGGGAGATGGTTGGATGAGTGGCAGAGGCAGAAAGAAGCGTCAATCAGAATGAACCTACTAAAAGCACGATCATTGGTGAACTAGAAAGGTCCTGCAACGTGCATTCGTTAGGATAAACAATCCATTAACTGATTTCAACGAATTAACTTGTCCGCACATTGTGATCAAATGTGTCGTTCATTTAGAACATTGAAACATTGTCATGTAAAAACACTCATCTAAATGCATGTTGATTCTAAATGTGGAGGGAAAACCATAAAAACCTGGAGAAATATCCACGTAACCACCACGGGGAGAGAGAAAAAGCGGACTCCAAATATACAACAGTCATCGTCAGGGTTGGCGAGGCGAGGGAGATACACCTCATTGCCTAAATGCTATGAATTATGTTTTTTTGCATGTCATGTCCCTTAATATAAACTTTAATCAATGCCAATAACTTGTTTTAGCCATTTAAACATATCATGTTCATTAGTGCAAAGTTAGTTATGGTTCTACATTATAAATTAACCTTGAACACTTCACCAACACGACAGGACAGCACAACACGAAACATCACCGACCCAATGAACTCTAAATACATTTCAATGAGAGTTCCCAATGCACAACCTTTTCTGCGCTTCGTTGAGTCTTTCTTGGGAGACTTCTTCTCTGGAGAGCTGGGAAGGGATTGCTTCCCCACCTGGTCACTGTCTCTCCTCTCCACGAGAATCTCCACATCAGCGAGGCTCTCCCCCTCCTCCTCCTCCGGCTCCTCCTCCACCATCTTGCTGCTGTCTTCTTCCAGCTTTAACTCACTCTCTGGCACGCATTCCTTACTCACTTCGCTCATCTCTTCTTCTTCTTCCCCCTCCACGTCGGTTCTGCTCTCAATGTCTGCTCTGCTCTCAGCCTCAGGCTGGCTCTGTTCTTCTGGCTTTTCATCACCGTCTGGTTTAGTGTCATCTTCTGTTTTGCCCCCGTTATGCGGATCACCCTTCGCTTCTGGCTTATCCTCGGGAATTGTATTTCCTTCCGGCGTGTTCTCAATATCCGCAGTGCTCTTCTCTTCAAGCATGCTGCCAGTATCTGCAATGTACTTCTCTTCTAACCTGGTCTCAACATCTGGAATGCTCTTCTCTTCAAGCAAGGTCTCAACATCTGGAATGATCTTCTCTTCAAGCAAGATCTCAACATCTGGAATGCTCTTCTCTTCAAGCTTGATCTCAACATCTGGAATGCTCTTCTGGTCCAGTTCACTGTCAATGTGTGCAACGCTCGACCCTTCAAGTTTGCTCTCAGTATCCGGAGTGCTCTTCTCTTCTCCTTTGCTCTCCGTATCTGGCCCGCTGCCCTCTAAGCTGCTCTCAATAACTGGAGCGTCCTTTGCATCTGTCTTTGTCACAGCATCTGCCTGGCTCTTCTCTTGCGGCCTGCTTTCAACTTTTACATTTGTCTCGTCAGGCTTGTGTTCAACATCTACCTCCGCCGCTTCCTCAGGTTCGCACTCGGTGTCTAACTTTCTATCCACGTCTACCGTGCTCTCAACATCTGGCGTGCACGTACTACTGTCTCGGTCGCTCATTGCGGCCGCTTTGCTTTCACTGGCGACTAAGGGGCTCTCCAAATGGGCGTCTTCAGCTGCGGCCTGCTTCTCGACGTCATCAGTTTGCTCTGCCTCTACGGGTGGCTTTCTGTCGCCCTCCGATTGTTGTTCCGCAGCGTGGGCTGCGTCTTCCTCCTCGACGATGTGCCGTTCCTCTGCTTGAAGAACCTTCTCGGGGTGAATGCTCTCCACTTCCTCTGTGGGTCGCCTCACTTGCACCTCGTGGCTGGCAACCGCCTCCATTCCCCAAGCCGGAGCCTCCTCGACCCCTGCTGGAGCTGCTGGCTGTGTCTCCGCTGGCAGGGTCTCCGTCTGGACGTGAGCTTTATCTTCGGCGGGCACGGACTGGAGATTCTCCAGGGGGGCTTCGGTGTCCACCGTGTCCCCCGATTCGTCGATGGCCTCCTGGTGCACAATTGGCTCTTTGAAGCCTGCAGGGTCAACAAACAAGCGTGACTGAAAACCCCACGGAAAGAATCATTTTAAAAAAGGTTAACTTTCAAATACCTCATTTCTCGATGCTTCGTCACTGAAAATGTTGGAAATGCTCTAAGTTTCAAGCATAATTCTTAACTATCTGAACTTCAGATGTCCATTTGCAACGCGATGGATCCTAGATAATTTTGAAGTCAATCATTAGGTTTCCAGAGATATATTTTTTTAGGAACAACCAATATATACAAATACATAGGATTGAGGGGAAATAATTTATATCACCTTATCTATGGTAATTGGGGCGTATTTATGTTAAACACAGCTCCCAACACATATGTGACACGTGATGCTATTAAAATTCAGTAGCTACCCAATTGACTTAATTTCAGTCAAATGCGCGCGTAATCAACTGTGCACACGCCGCTGGTTAATGCATCTGAGCCGTCGGTGCAGCAGTGCAGTACTCTCGTGGTTTTTTAAAGAGACCTCCAGCGCCATCCAGCCCCGCCTCTCCCCGGCGTCTCGTCCACGAACCTCTCCCCCCCCCTCCCCCATGTCCTCGCCTCCCCCGGTTGCCAGTGGCATCAGCCTGAGCCGCGTTTCATGCTAAGTCGCCTTTCATTCCAGCTCGACCTGCACGTGCTGGATGGAGGAGGAGGCTGTCACACTGCTCTGTGGCTACGTGGGGCTGACGTCCACTCACACACAATATAACATTCTACAAATATTACATTATTTGCTTTTTTTGCATATCTGGCACTCTAACTGTATGACGGTCACGCGTAAAAACATTCACTAAATAAATAAATCACCTTCCATTTCTTCATTTTCACGTAGAAATATTTTTTGTCTGGGGGGTTTATACCAAGCGTTTAATCGTGCTCACTGAACTACAAACATGATGATTATAAACTCCAGTGTAAATTAATATTCTGGTTCTGATTCGGTAGTGTGCATTTGCATTGATGGTGGTATTTGCTTAGATGTCGCGCAAATCGCCACATATCCCGCTCCGTTATTTAACCATCGGAGAGGCCAATTGGATTTTCTTCTTTTTCGGAAATTGAGGAATGGTTGCCCAGAGTCACACAGGAACAGTTAATTTTCAGCAGTGTAACATTGATCATATTTGGCCTACAAATGTGTGGATACTTATCTGACTCCTGACCCTCACGAGATACTCACCAGGACATTCACAACTCACATATTACTCACCAAATAAACTCAAGAGACACTCACCAGTGACTGACATGTGAAGTGTCATAATCTGTGTGTATGGATCGGTGGTACTGCTCAAATTACAATGCAGCGCTGGTTTCAATTAGCATTCCATCACGTCGGTTGCATAGGTCACTCTCATTCTGACAGTGGAAGGAACCAAGATCAGATATCACTCACGATTGGTATTATCTATGGCCGGGTATTGAACTCAGGTTGCTGGTTTCGTAGCGCAGTGCACCAACCACTGCCCTAACTAGTGTGTGTAATGTATCCTACTTAGCATGTCGTGTGTGTTGTAACAGCCAGCACATGCGTGCGTGCACAGTGCTGAATGCTAATTCGCCTAAGAACACCGATGATTCTCGATATTTTCAGATGCCCATCAATTTGACATTCTATGGATCACACCAAACAAGAATCCACAGGGCAACGATCTGAACTTTTCGGAGATCACTTGGAAATTGTACGTGGAGAATCTGCTGTATTTCGATGATGATGATGTTGAAATCAAACATACGTTGGTATATATAATTGTACCGAACTTCCCTGCTGGGTTTCCTGTATTCGACCATCCATTTCAAAGCCAGATAACTTGCACAAAACATAGCTATCACGAATATTAATTAAATTGCCCGTATAAGAAGAGGTGGCATTAACCCACGCTTACCCTCTACACCTCCGATTAGCAAGGTTGGCTACGTACGGTGCAAAAGAAGTTCAACATACGTGCATACCTCGCCACACGCCATCTGTAGCCTGATTCAATGCGAACCTTACCGCTCGCTGTTGGATGTGGCTTCGTGGGCTTGGCATCCTTCTCAGCGCCGTGCCGTGGCTCTGCCCTCGCCAGCTGCTCCTCCGCTGTCTCCATCTCCTTGTCTTTGATTTGTTGTTTCGAATCTCGCTGCTGTCCCTCGGCACCCTCGCTTACAAACACTTCCACCTGCGACTCGGAGAGGCCTTTGCCGTCTTCCGCCTGGTGTTGTGTCTCTGCGACGCCTTCGGAGCCAGAGTCGGCAGATTGCTTTAATTGAACGTCAGTGGTTGTGGCGTGCTTGGCATCTTCCTTCTGCTCGGCGTTTGCCGCTGTGTCTGTTTTGATCGATTCATCCGGTTGAGCTTTCTCCCTTGCTGGAGGCAAGCACTCAGCGTGTGGTATGCTCTTTTTAGGACTTAAACTTTCTGAATGAATATAATCAGTGAACGCTGCGTCCTTTTGAGCCGCAGCTCCCTCGCCCAGGGTGTCTTGCTTGTATTCGTCATCGTCGTTGGGCGGCGGCGTTGTTGATATTCTCGGAACATGCGCTGGACACAGCTGCTCCTCGGCAAATTTGAGTGGCGCGATCTCAGAATCGGGGCTCTTGTCCTGCTCTCTGAGGTCCGGCAGTTCTCTCTCGTACGTCACGCGAGCGTGGTGGTGGTGACCCTTGTCGCTCTCATCGTCGCTGCCGTCATTGTGGCGCAGCACGCTGCTGACGTCGACGCTCAGCGAGTATTTTATTCCTCCAAGACGCTTGTCTGCACCGGAGAGTGACCGCGTTGGGGTCACGTTCTCGAACAGAACACCGGCCGGGTGGTATTCAGACTCCCGCGCGCTCAGCACGGGGAGGTCGGATTTCATTAGAGGAGAACTGAAAATAAAATCCTTGTCTTTGTCCACCGACAGAGAATCCGGCTTGTACGGATCTGCTTCAACACGCTTAATTTCTGCGGAGGTGTCCTCTGTGTCAGACCTTGGAACCAGACCCTCTTCTTCTTCTTCGTCCTCCTCCTCTTCCTCCTCTTCCTCCTCTTCTGGATGCATGTGTTGCGTGATATCTATTTCTGGGGTGCCTCCTGATGCTTGGTCCAGCAGTTTCGTTTCTGCCGATTGTTTGGAATAAGCAAGGAGGGCCTCTTTACCAGCCGTGTTCAGCTCCATATACTCCACATCGTGTCCGTGCCCCTTCGCGTCGGGGGGATACTCGTAGTACGCAGATTCATCCTGCGGGTCGATGCAGTGAAAGCGAAAGCTGCTGAAGTCACTTTCCTTCCGTTCCTCCTGCCTGGCGTGCTCCGGAGGGAACTCTTGCCGAGCGCTTGCCGCAGACGCCTTTTCGGATGGGAAGTACTGTTCCTCGTCGCTATTGTCCTCCTGAAACTCAGACAAGATAGCTGTTTCCAACGGCGAGAGCCTCGAGTGGCCGTGATGGCCGGCTGACTTCTGACCATCTTCCCCGCCCCCCCCAGCTGTGAGAAAGTCCCCCGACGTCGGCTTTCCAAACTGGTCCACGACATTGCACTGCAATTCATCATCGGAGCTGGCGTCCGACTCGCTGTCGATTGCTTTCATGGCGTAGAAATCTAGCTCCGACTGCGGCGGCGCCGATAGTGGTGTGGACTGCGCTTGGGGTCCCAACATGCTGGCTACAGCGGTTTTGGAGGTGTCCGGTCCAATAGCGACCGCGTTTTTCCCATTCGAACTGGAGCAGGTTGTTGCGTGCTCCACTGGTGTGGACGCAGCGTCACCCGGGGCGAGTTTTCCGGGCCGAGGTTCTTCGAAGTGATCTTGTTGTGTTGGCTCTTTCGTATGACCGGCACTCAAAGCGTCGCTTTCGCTCTCTGCTCGCGAAGCGTCTGCACATTTCAACTGCGGAATCGCGCTTCCATTCTTGTCATCCTTCATAATATCTTTGCATTCCGGTGCCTCAATAGATTTTTCTTCATCTTTCAATTTCTCTATGGAGGTTTTGTCACCATCCGCCCGCAGCACGTGTGCGTCGTTACTCCTCTTATCACCAAATTTGGCTTCACATTCCACTTTTGGAAAGGACGGTTGCACCGTTTGCACCTCGGGCATTTTTATTTCTTCTTCGAGGCTGTCACCTTTGATGGCACCCTGGCTCTCTCCTCCTTGACTCGATTTCACCTTTTGAGAACTGCTTCCCTGTAACACTATTTTGGATGCTTTCTGTTCAATCGGTAGAAAATCTGTGGATATTATATCTCTTTGCGGAGTAGGCTTTTCAGTGTGATGGTTTAACGATGTTGCTGTAATGTCCAAGCTTTGGTCTTGAGCAGAACCCGCATCTGTGGGCGCAGGTTTATCGGTCTGAAAATCAGCCGCCTCTCTCCCTTCAGGAATAGCTCGCAAATTTACAACGCTGGTGAAACTTGACTCATCCACACCCACGTTGCCTGCTTGGATATTGAGGGCATCGTTTTGTTGCTTTGTTTCTTTATCTGCCTCCTGTAGATTACGTTCCATTTCCAAAACCTCGGGCTGTTTGGATGACAAATCAGCAGCCACCACTTGCTCTGTAAACATGCAAGCACTGTCGGATTTCTGTCCCAAGCACTGCTCTGAAAGCTTCCGCTCCAGTTTTTGGTTTTCACTTTTAAGGGTCTTACTCTGTGAGGCCGCGTCTGGAATGTCGTTGTCGTCTTCCCCCCTGTAGTCGAACGTGTACGTGTTGGGCAGCGTGTAGGATCGCAGCATTGATGCCTTCTTGTTGGAGGCCTCGTACGACCTGAAGGCGCAGGTCTCATCCGCGTCTGCAGGCATTGCACTGAAGTTCACAACGCTCAAAACGTTCTCGCCATTTCCAGGTTCATCGAACTTCTCTTCAACCAAAACTTCCTCGCTGAATGTGACCTGTTTCGTCTTCAAGGTTAATAGCCCACTTGAACCCTCCTGATGTGGAGCCTCAGCAAAGGAACCTTCATCCGATTCTTGAGGCTCTGTAAATCCCGCTATAGGCTCCTCGTGAGGCTCGGGGCTTTCTTTGCCGGTTTGGGGCCGTTTGCCGTTTTCAGCTGCACTGCCAGACGATTCAGTATTCGGCGCGGCGGGTTTGCTTAATTGAGCATCGTCAGATTCATTTGGCAGCGCTGCTGTGCTGGCTGTGTCACATGGCACAGGCTCATCCCGTCGAAATTCTGGACCCTGAATGTTGTCGTGAGCGAGGTGTGCGACCTCGTCGCCATCTCCACAAGGGAAACAGTGAGTTTTTGTCACGGGCTTTTCAGATGCTTCCTTGTTTTCATCTGGCTTGTCAACGTCAAATTTGTTCTCTTTGTGCGTCACGGGACTCGGTTTGTCATCGGAGAATGAGAGTTGGTTTGTGAAGCCCCCAGCTGGTGGCCTGGAGTCCGCCTTGGAGTCCGACCGAAGTGAGGCCACGTCTGCCCCACTGCCGCTTGGGCTCGCCGCTGGCTCAGTCGCACCGAAGCTGCCGCCGCCTTTCTCTTTGGTCTCTGAAGCATCCCTGGAGGCCCCCGGTCCCTGCTGCGGAATAGCCGGTGGGCTTTCGTACTCGGAGGGGCTTGGAAGCTCCCAGTCGTCAAGGACAACAGGTGCCGGCTGCCTGCTGGAAGCGGCGCACTCCTTTGCTGCTCCTGCTGCTGCTGCATCCGTCGTTTTCTGTGATGATGGCTTGGCATCAGAGGAGTCGCAATCGTCATCCTCCTGTGCGTACGTGGCGAAGGAGGGTGGGGCGTCCGGGCCCTGTTGGCCGTTCCCGCTCATGGTGTTGCAGGCAGTGGAGCGGTAATCCCTCGCGATGTCTCTTTTTTATTATCTGTGTGTCTGCCGCTATTTATTCACGCGCACGCTGTGGCGTGAACACTGCACCGATGACTTTCTCCCTTGAGGCAGGAAAATGTGCCTGGGTAACGGAAATGAGAAGGGACAGTTTGGTTAGTGTTCAAAGCGTTTTGGACAACACAGGGCACACAAATTGTCCGCAGGCTGTAAGAACGATCTAGGCTCACACGTCCATGGCCCTCTTGCCTTCACCAACTCGTACTGGCCAGTGTGGTGAAGGATGACCAATAACCATCATGGCTCACACTGTGGGGAGGCATTCGTGCCTCAGCGCATTGACAAAGGGCTGTGCACGCGGTTGCTGTATAACTGTATTCATAGGCTAGATTATGAGCACTGTCTATTAACAAGCATTAATAGACAGTGCTTTGTCTCCTGGATTATTGCCGTGTTTGCTGTGGTTTTTGAGTGGAAACATTCACAGGGCGATGAGCACACGAGTCGCAGAACACACGACGTCATAGAACACCCGACGTCACAGAGCACACAACGTCACAGAACACATGACGTCACCTCCTCCGGTGGTCTTTAATTAAACGCCCAACTCAAGTGACACGATGATAACTCAATGCCACACAAGCATGGCAAGGTAACGTTCAAATGAGCCCCAAGACCGGCACAGCAGAGAGGTGGCCCTCATCCAGCAGTGAATTGACAAAAAGGGCCGAACATCTGCACGTGGGTAGAGTTGTCTGTGGAATTAACATCCACCACAAAGGCGTGCTGAGCTCAGCTGCGGCTTACTGCTCCTTCAGACGTTACGCGCGATGAAGGGGCCATGTAGCTCCTCTCAAGGCAACGGTGGCAAGGGAGGGTGTAGCGCAGAGTACAAACTTTCATCGTAAAACAATACCCAAATGTGTGGCTGACTTCATACTTGTTTTAAGGTGCTGCCAGATGTATTATACAATCAATAACACGCGTACATAGGGTAACACTTACATAAACTCACATATGCATAAACACAACATTGAGAAACGTGAGTACCACTTGGTGGGAAGTCAAGATCAGAATGTCCCCTGAGGTTATTGGCGATTGCCATGGGAATGTGGAATGAGCATCACTGGCTCAGCCAACAGAGATGGGCCCTGTAGCAATCCCCATGTGAGCATGGAGACAATTATAGATGTGGTCTGTTCAAGGTTGTTTATTGGAACTTGCCATATATGTTCATTTGTAGTTACAATATACTGCCTCTCCATAGTAGACTTGTTTTTTCAAACTTTTAACTTTCAAAATGTCTTTGGAATAATTAGGGGATATACAGTGTTAAGATAGTACCATAACAGTGTCTCAGTTATGGTGAAACATGCATTCCTTCTTCACATTTATTTTCCTCTTACATTCATCCTCCCTTGATTTCGAAATACAGCAATTTCAAAATATGTCTTGCTTAATCCATCACTTTATAGTGTATGTCCAATCTCTCTCGAGTGTAGAGATTAATGCAAACATATCCTGTGATTTTAAAATGTATATAACTCCTCATACGCACTTAATCGGTATCTTGAGCACTCATCTAACATATCTCTATCCTGTGTGACATATATATTTAAATAAAAACGGAACAATGTATATTCAAGTCACATCACCAGGCAAAATATATATAAAAGCTGCCGTGAAGGCTAATAAGACGTATCTCTTCAAATGTAAATAGGTGTAGACTCCATTGGGTGCAATCATCAAAGATAAGTGCTTCTTTAAATTAGAATCCATAGACTGCGGTGGTTCTGTATTTCGCAATGGACTACAATAAACGAGCAGCGACGTGAAGAGAGGGCTCAAACGCTTTGCTCTTTGTCTTTTTTTAAACAAGGATTACGGGAAAAGCTGGGCGAGCGGCTTAAGCCTCGGAATGTTTTTTTTTTCCCCCCCTCCGGGGGAGTGAGTTCTAAATTGTCTGTGTGTGACGGGCGAAATGGGAAAGGCGACGATGCGAGGAGACGGCGGCTGAACGCAAGGACGCAGCGGAGGGCACGCCGAGCGGCAGCTGCGCTTCTCGTTTGGTCACCGCCGTGATGGAGGTTCATTTAAAGTTTACTTTATAAAAGAAATGCGTTATTTACCCTGGGCCGCATGGAAATTAGATGGACGGCGAACAATGACCGTGTTATCTAACTAAAAAAAGCACACAGCGGATTAAAACGGGCACAGGTGTTGTTTACGTTCTGGACACACTGCCTGGTTGCTAGCCCACATCAAAAAACGACATCTGTAGGTGAAAATATCGCACTCCATTTGAGAATGTGGCACGATCTTGACTGAAAATCAAGGGCACGAGAATCATTCCCACTGCGAGGTTTATAGTCCTTGTTTAGTGTGGCTTGGCTATATTCTCCAGTCAGTGACCACAAATGCTTCGTTAATTCACTCTTTCCATGCTTTGGGGAAGAAAAAAAATGACTGAGCAGATGTTACTTAAACATTGGCTATGGCCATGAATAACGATGGCAAGTGTCCATAATGATGTTGAAACTATAGTCGAATGAATAATATATTTGAGGTCATATGCTAAATATACGGTAGTTACATAAACAAAATCAGAAAATTATATACGATATATTTCGAATTAAAGCTTTCGTGACTGCAAGGATTAATCCAGATGAATACGATATATTGTTATGTTTTAGCATTCCCACCACATTTAAAAGTAATTCCTAAAATGCCACCATGAAAACTAATATAAATTGTGTTAGCTGTTTGCCAGTACTTTGATGGATGAAGGCCTCTCCATGGGAATGTTTTGACCATACTTCACCACGCTAGTCAATGCAGCTTGGGGAAGGGGGCGAGCCCAGGACTGCTTTACATGTCACCTGCCAACTGACATTATCCAAGATCAAGAATGGAATTAAATATTATTGGTTCATGACGCAGTGTTGTAATAACTGCTCTACCCCAGTAATTATTGAATGTAATATTATTCACATATCACACATCACGAAAATGTTTCACTGTGTATGTTTGATTACTGAAATGACATTGACTAAATGGCATCGATGCATTATGTCAAGTTTCAACTCCAGTATATTGCCAGGGCGTCCAATACGGCAGATAATGCCATGAGAAGTGTGGTCTGTTTTTTTGAAAGTTGTTATTGTCCTAACTGCAAAAATACAAAACTGTAACAATGCTCATTGAATAGCGCGTTGCAGTTGCCTCTTTCATCATCATCATATTTCCGAAGTAGGCCTCAGATGCACTGAGTCTATGAATGGACCATTCGGTTGTTCTTGTATTGAGTCTTAGCGTGGACTTTTATTCAGAAAACCACACAAATAGTTGATGCGGTACCTTGTTTAAATGATAATGAATCTATTGCTATAAAAGTGTACTTTGAAATATATATGATTTGGCCAAATAATGCCGAAAATTGTCAAGTTTGCATAAAAAAATGTCTTCATCACGCTACCAGGAAAGGTAAATAGCCCTGGGGCAAACATCGTCCCACCAGCCCAGTAGCGGTCGAGATTCATGATGAGGTGCCACCACCTGAAGGTTGGGACCGCCCCCCCCCCAAGTGAAGTCGACCACCGTGGAGACGGAGCGATAAGATCGTGGGCATTGTTGCATCGCGAGACCATGGGGACCGTGAGGCATGGGGAGACTTGGGGAGGGGATTTCATCCACGAGTGAATAGATCATGGACTGTGATGACGATACCCTATTTAGTTGTAGCTCTTTGAGGCGTGTCTTGAAAAGATAACGATCATTGATTTATCGTGGCACATCATTGGATTTTAACGTCACGTTGCTAATCATTACTGCGAATCAACTATTGTGGAAATGCATCATAAAGGACTAAAGTCTAGATCTTCAAAGCATGAATGGCATATGCACACAAAATCAATGGCTTGGCCATCGTGGGGTGACCCAAGATTATTTAGGTAACAGATCCAATGCACCAACCACATGGCAACCCAGACGTAATGAGCAACCACGTGTAATTAGCTGGTGGAGGGCGGTGGCTCAATGGTTATTGCACTGCACTGTGAATCAGGCGGCCTGAGTCCGATTCCCAACTACAGCTAACATCGGCAGAGAGTGATATCCAATCTAGTCTGGGGCTTCAGTCAACGGGGCTGGGAAGGCCTTCATTCAGCAGTGGGTCGATACAGCCTGTAAAGGATTAATTTGATTTAAGTAACACAGCGTTATACTATCCAGGCATACACAGATAACGTGGCGGTAATTAAAAGAAAACACTCTATATGCAGATGAATGTAATACACGTAAAGAAAGTGAGGTTTCAGATTTGGGTATCATTATATCTCAGGGTCGGTATCCTGCTTAATCTCGGGCAAGAGTTAAATTTTAATGCCGTCACATGAAAGTGTGCTTCGTGTAATGTATTTTCATCTACAGTGTTGCCTTCCCCTACTTCATGTACAATATTCACTTGTACACATATATGGATATTCTCTTGAATGGATCGGAATACACGTTTCAAAATATATTTGAAAATTTAAATAATATTTCAAGGTCTACATTTTGAATATTTTACAAGCAGAAGATGATCGTTTGTAAGGATATATTGCAACTGTGTGGACACAATTTCTGCTGTTATGGAAGGCTCTGAATTTAGCTGCTACCACTTTGAAGGCCTTGTTTATTTCTCTACTTGGAGTCACTTGACAAACAACACCAACGCGTGGCTCAGTGTCTACAATATCCCAACAAACCTGTCCCGAGCTGTGGCAGTCTTGGCAAAGAACAAGATATTGGTACCACTCTGAAGTTAATTTGACAATGTTATAATGTTGATACACTCATTAATGTATAAACACTCCATTTGGCTGAAACGGAGTAGATAAGACTACATTTCGTAACTACAACTGTAAAATAAACAAAATTGGTTTCCTTCTTGATGGAGCACGTGTTAGTGTGTATATCCTGTGTACAGCCCTGGGGCAGGTGTGAAAATTACAAGTTCCATTGATATGGTCAGTCCATCTACAGTAAAAACACGTTCTGGACAAAAGCTTCATAGCTCATCGGATTTCTCCAGGATAAATAGATATTCTGTTTTTTTATTTCATCAGTCCATCTGGAGCAAGACAT